TGAATAGTAGTCTTTAAAATTAGTTCATCACTTCTGTATACTTAATACTATCCTCCGTATCATAATAGTTGCAACATTGGAATTTACACACTATTCATGTACTCTGCTTTGACTAGATACATTTTATTTATTAATGTATGTGAATTTTTTTTTTGAAAAATATTGTTAAATTCATCTCATTACAAAGTTTCATAATCTGATTTTTAAATTTTATTTGCTAATAGAGAATTAAATATAATGACGGTCAAAGTTGTGAATCGGCAAGCGTGAAAAAAGGAATGTTGCAACTAAAAAAGAACGGAGGAAGTATCAATAGTTCAATACTCGATACTTTTATGTAGGTCTTTTAGCACTGACTACTCTTAAAATAAAAACATGACAGAAAAGATGACGAAGACAGTGCTGAATAAATTCTCATAGAAAACTTAATACCTGTCCCATGCTGAAGCACAAGAAATACTGAAATAGTAATATCATAATTCTGATCAATGTGATTCTGTTCGATAATTAAGCAAGTGCAATGTAAACAAAGGTGTACCATATGGTTTTTTACTGCAAGATAAAAAGTGAAAACAGTGCCAACTACCATCTAACACCTTCACTCCTGCTTGTTCGATTCTCTCATTCTCTATATGATGGCCTGCACTTGGTGACAAAAGATTCCTCATCAATGTCAAACCAAACACAATATTATACTCGCTCCGCCCCTAAATGTTGTTCCAATTGCGGATTACGAAGCTTGACCGACGATAAAGTTAAATGATCCCTGTGAAAACTCGGATTATTTTTAGTAAATAAAATTTACATATTCAGAAACTACATTAAACCCGCTACAAAGCCTGCAAAAAATAATTCAACTTTTATAAAATTTTGATATAAAAAGTAAGAGATTAAGAGTGATTTAAGTTGACCAATTGAATAGTGAAATGGAACTTCTTTTAGGGACAGAGGGAGTATTATTTGTGCAAAGTGTAGCATATAGTTAGGGAATTTGAGCTATTACCTTTTTACTAATTTCTTGGAGCCCCCCCCCCCCCCCCCAAAATGAACTCATCTAGAATTAGATATATCCACAGATTCAACAATACCCACAAAGTGCCCATTGAAATATCAAACATTAAATTGTAATATTTTATAGATGAAAACGATGGAGACATGAATTAACACCAACATAGGAGTTTTCTCCAGCTTAACATTTTGTTCTCATCATCCCAAAAAAAAGGTGTCAAAAATATAATTCATCCACAATAAAGTCGATGAAGACATAAATTAATGAGCAAAAATATTTACCAAGGAAGCCATGATCTCGTCTTCATCTCAGAACAGGAAATTCAGGGGTTAGAATTGATTATCATATTAGCACTACTTGTCATCCATATATATGCTCTGACTATTGAGAGATTGTATTCACAGGCCAAGCAAGTGATGAAGCCGTCAATGCAAAAGTGTAGAAGTGGTTTCATCAAAAAGTAGTGAGCATAGGGAAGTTAGGGATTTAGGAGATGTGGTGAAGGCAGATAGTAATGGAGCCAAAGATTCATTATTTTTTGGCTTGAGAATATGATGGAATAAAGCAAAATGGCTCACTAAACTGTCTGCGCTTCTTTGTTATGAAGCAGCAGTCAGTCCATGCAATTTTGGACGCGATTTTCACTATGGGTCATCCGGAAACAGTCTCTCTATGCTTTAGTACAGGGGTAAGACTGCGTACATCCGACCCCCCCTTCCCCACCGTAGGTGGGAGCCTTTGCGGCACTGGGGTAAATGAAAATGAAAAGAAAAATGAAATGGTGAAGGCAGATAGTAGGATGACAGGTTGTTGCGGCTAATCAACAGAAGCAGAGAGCGATTGGAAGAAGGCGTGGTGCAGGCGTGCGGCTAAAGAAGATAGGCAGACGAAAAGGGAGGACATTACCTCAAGAAGAACTCTTTGCTCCTCAAGAGAGAAGAAGACAACCTCAAGAAAAACCTGAACAACAACATCCAAGCCTTAATCCCAAAAGGAAAACCTGAACATATAAATGAAAATAAATTTAAAGCATGGCTCATATATGAACTCAAATATCCCCTTAGGCATCCCTTTACATATGACATAAATAGAAAAAAAGTAGAAAATGACATCATTATAAGCACCATCTTATTGTCATAGTAGCATTCAATTGATTCTGGAAGATGGGTAGCTACCTCTTTTCCATATTTGTTAAATTTAATGTCAGCCCAATAACTGCATTTTAGGTGGAAAAATTCCATGTAATAAGCTTCCTAGCACGTGAATCATAAGAAGCAAACTCTAGTAGAACATTTCTATCAAGTTCATCAAATGCAGAAATCTTTATAGAATTGATCGTCCTATGTATGATTTGGTTATTATATTCTAAATTGCTAACTGTAAAGAATATCTAACTTACTTATGTAATAAATTTCACAGTTATGCTAGGGAATATGAAAAACTTGTTCAGCTACATCATTTGGGGAATAATAAAATCTGTACTTTTACACCGCTTGAAGCAACAGAGGTTGCACCTGAGTCCTTAATGCATTCAAAGTTGGAAGTATTATGGAATCAACAAAAATGAATTCATTTAGGAGAGATAGCTAAAGAAATTCAGGGCTGTTGCTTTAAATCCTCTATAGCCACATTATTTCCATTTAGGGAAATTAGCTAAAGAAATTTAGGGTATTACCTTTCATTTTCAGAGCATACTCCATCTTCTGCTTTGTCAGTGAAAAAGCTGCATTCCGGACCTAGAAATTTAAATGGAATTGGTGTGAATGAATTCTTCGTGATGATTCCTTTGAAAGATCCCTACATGGCTACATAATCTCAAATAATGTAATAAGGAATTGCTTTTAATGAGAGTGGATACAATTAAACTAAGGAGAGCTCATTACAGTTGTATTTGAATTTAATTTCAAAATTAATATTCAGGTTTCAGTAAAATAAAATCAAGTGATCAATGTTCGATCAATTTAATTTATAGCCAAGAAAAGGGATATATCTTTATAAATTTGAAAGGTTGCCGGTTTCATTAAATCAAAATTTTAGATTTAGTCATCCTAAGGTTGCCTGCATTCTATAATTTCAATAAATCAAAATTTTAAATTTAGTAATCCTAAGGTTGGAATCTAGACATCACAGAAGTATACATTTGAACTAAAAAGGGAAAATTGAATTATGAAACTACCTCGGATTCAGTATATTGAAATTCTTCCACAGCCTCTGGAATAAGAGAATGATCAATGGAGTCATTTGGCGACTGGCAATGCAGTACCTTCCACAAGCGTAGAGAACTCAGAACTTAAGTTTTTCTTGGCACTCTGCAAGATATATTGAATCCTTCTGGCCAGAATGGGATAGAAAAAATAATAAAATCAATTCCAGTAGAAAAGAAAACTGAATAAAAGGAAAAAAAAATGAGATGGAATGGAATACCATATCAGATGAATGAAATGAGTAGATAATGCTCAGTTTTCAATGAAAGAAAACCTTAGTTTAGAGAATTGAATATTAGATCAATCTTTATTCAAAAGTATAAACAAAGGCTTGCAAATAAGAGCTAGAGGGTAACCTTAGTTTAAACTTAATTCTTGAGCTGGTTGGTCTTCAAACGGAGAGTCACATCTCTGCCTGCCGAGAAGCTTCCCTAGTCACAAGCGGAGGGGGAAAATCACTAATTCTTTGAATTCTATTAGTTTACTCCAATGAATCTGTATTCCCGGGGCATATAAGTCTCTCTCGCGAGTGAAGGAGATGCATTTCGGTAAAAAGTCATCTACATATCGCAGTCTGAGGCCTATTCTGACTTGTGAGCGATGTGCAGGCGTGCAGCAACTCCTCTTTCTTGTCTTTCTTCTCTCCTGAGAAGGTCTCAAAAATCATTAGATCGCCATTAAAAAACAGCAGAAGTGTTCTCACGTCTACAACAAGAAAAGTGTTTTTAGAAACAAAGAAGAATGAAACTTTCAACCGTATCTGATAAGGTGTACATTACGTGATTTTCTTTAAAACCGGTATGTGATTGAACTTACCAGATAGCCATTACAATATGCAGTGCATTTAAGTATAAGCAATGTTCTAAAAGGCGTTAGGCGCTAGTCGGGCGCCAGCCCAGCGCCTAGTGCCTAGGCGGGCGCCTAGGCGGGGACTAGTCGGAGACAAAAAAAATTGTATTTTTATCAATATTTTTGCATAAATATGATTAGTAATGTTGTGTTTGTGTGTATAGAAAAAACATATACACACACATACACATCAACATGCATGAATGATAAAGTTGTCACATTTAATAATATATTATACCAACTCACTTACTCACTAGAAGATTTCTTCATATGTATTGTTAAAGTTAAAGTGCATATAGCTCCTAGGACACTAAAATAAAATAAAAAGCTATAATCTAGACACCTAGGCAGCCGATAAAGCGCTCTAGGCGAGCAAATATACGCCCTACGCGGCCGACTAATTCACCTAGGCGCCAAATCAATTAGTCAGAGCGCCTAGACTAAAATCGGGGCGCCCGGCCACCGCCTAGCGCCTAGGCGGGGACTAGTCGGGCGCCTAGAGAGATTTTTAGAACAGTGAGTATAAGATTAACAAATTTTAAGTATTGATATGTACAAATTTACAATCTTCAGAAATAAGATGTTTTTTGAACGAAGTGAGGGATATATTGAAGAAAGTGGCAGGACTCAGCAGGTAAGCTCTGTGTGAAAAACTCTTGTGGCAGGACGTTTGAAGATAAACGTTGACGCAGCTGGCAATGTCAGAGGATGGGGTATGTTTGATCTCTGGAGCCTGGGGACATGCCTAAAGTGCCAATAAAATATGGTTCACTCAGAATAAAAAGTAAATGATTGGCATAAAATGTGTCCCAAGTCCAATCCCCCTCAAAAACAAAAGAAAAATCACTTTCATAGCAAACTCTGCAAAACGTTGTGCATTATAATTACTTCTAAATTTTAATGTGAATGTCATATGACCTAAAAGTAGTTAAGTCAATCGCTCACATGTATACTACTCTGGTAGCAGTAACTTCATCCCATCATAAATGTGGCTATTTGTTGATAAATTTAGTCAAAAAAGATGAATGTAACGAAATATACATAAACATCGATAGTTTTAGCTAGCAGTAAGCTAAATTAAAATATCTTAAGAACTGATACTTTCACAATTTTCCTTTGTATTCAGGAGCATATGAAGCAGAGCGGAATCCGGTCCTTTTTGCATGATGGTCTTCAGTACAATCTCACAAGTGCTATTGTCAGGTGAGAGTCCAAGTCTTGACATCTCTTCCAAAAGTAATACAGCTTCACAATACTCATTCTTTTTCAGTAACCCACGGATGAATACATTGTATACCACACTGTTAGCCACATAACCGTTTTTCAACATTTTCTTGAACATATCTCTTGCATCTTCTAGCAAGTCTTCTCGGCAAAGTCCACTTATCATACTACTATAAGAAAAATCATTTGGCATCAATCCTTTAGAGGGAAGGGCATTAAATAGTTCCATTGCACTCCATACCTTCCCATCATTGCATAGTCCATTTATAACGGTAGTGTAGCTTATTAAATCGGGAGCAGGACTCCCTACTTCCATCATCCTCAGTAAAGAAAGTGCTTGAAGAACACGATGATTCTTACAGAATCCATCTAGAAGAACATTGTAGGTGAAGAGATTTGGATGTTCTCGATTTCCCACCATCTCCTTAAAAAGCATCTCAGCGTCATCACATCTCCCATCCTGAAACAAACCCATCAACATAGTATTGTAGGTAACAATTGTGGGCTTCAAACCTCGACTTTGTAATTCTTCAAATAATTGTGTGGCCTTATAAGAACACCCGCTTTTGTAACATCCATTTATCAAAATGTTAAAAGTCCAAATGTCAGGTTCGCATCCCATATCTATCATGATATTTAAGAGTCCGAATGCACTTTTATTGTTTCCTTGTGAGCAGTATCCATTGGTAACAACTCTAGTCTTTAAACCTCGACTTTGTAATTCTCCAAAAAATTGTGTGGCCTTATAAGAACACCTGCTCTTGTAACATCCATTTATCAAAATGTTAAAAGTCCAAATGTTAGGTTCACATCTCATATCAATCATGGTCTTTAAGAGCCCGAATGCACTTTCAATGTTTCCCTGTGAGCAATATCCATCCATCAAACAATTATATGTGACTACGTCTGGACCCACACCTTCTATAAACATTTTATCTATGAGTTTTGCAGCATTGCTGACCCATCCTTCCCTACAAAACCCAGCAACTAGAATGTTGTAAGTCTGAACCTCCATAGGAATTTTGGAATCCATCATTCTCTTTACCATCTCTTTGACCTCTTTCCATCGACTGAATTTGCAGAGCCCATGAATAAGTGAACAATATGTCACATTATCCGGAGGAATTCCCTTTCCGATCATCTTCTCTAACAGACCAAGAGCACTGTCGACCATTTTATCCTTACACAATGCGTCAATAATGTTGTTATATGAAAATACATTTGGCTTGCAGTTTCCCTTCTCGTCAAATAAATGAAGCACCTTAATAGCCTTACCGGTCTGTCCTGCCTTGCAAAGGCCATCAATCAATATGGATAATGTAACTTCATTTACCGCACATACTTTCTCATTCAATACCTTCTGGAACAACCAAACAGCATCCTGAACCCTATGTTCCAAAAAAAGTCCTTTCAGTAAGCAGCTGAACAAAATCACACCAGGCACAATACCCAGCTTCAAATGGATTCCTAAAACAGCAAATGCCAATTCTACCTTGTGCAAGCGGGCAAGGGAATTGGCAGCAATGCTCAGTGTGCACTCGTCTATCATATGGCCGGAAACAAAAATATCCCGAAATAGAGAGACAGCCTCGTGGTAACAACCCATTTTGACAATGGCATTCAAGAGCTGGTTGAATTTGGTGATGGGAGGACGGGGTGTCATTGTAGCCATGTGACGGTACAAACCAATTGCATCATCGAGCTTAATAATACTTGCAAAGGTTGATTTACTGAGTTGAGAGTATGATTCTTCAGTTTTTGGCACAGCAGCAACATCATGAAAACTACTGGAGAAGATAAAGAGGGGAAAGTTAGGGATGGGTGAATGGATGTTACCGGGTGATAGTGCTCTCCAGGCCCATCTGAAAAAGTGCCCGCTAAAGCCATTGATCTTCTTCTTCTTCATTTGCTGGAGACTCTTAGCTGTTATAGAAAATAGCTATTTTGTAGCGCATCGCTACCTCTGTCACTCTATGGCTCTGTGTCTCCATTTTGGTACTCAAAGGCTCAAAGCAGCCGTGCAGGAAAAAAGATTTTGCTTAAAAGAAACATGCTTTTTAAAGTGACCTGGTAAAAAGTGATTAATACGGAGTACTAAAAATCGATATTATTTGAAAAAAAAAGTGATTTTAAAAAGTAAATTTAATACTCCGTCTCACTAAGATTGTCTCAGACACTATTCACTTGGTCAACATCAAATTTTTATCAAATTTGATTCTGGTTTTTGTGACTTTGAAAAGTTTTAAATGTAGTTTCTGAATATGTAATTTTTCATTTTCTAAAAATAATTTGAGTGTGAACAGAGATCTGTTTGCTTTATCGTCGGTCAAACATCGTAAACTGAATTGTCCTGAACATAGTGGGACGGAGGTAGTATAACTCATAAATTCAATGGAAGTTGTCAATAAAATTAATTTTTAAACTGTGTGTGGACATATAAAAATTATTGGACTAGTTGAGATGATTATTGGGCCTCTTCAAATGGTATCGAGCTATAATTGACCTTTTTGGGCCTCTTTTGAATTTATTGGGCCAAAATCGGATTCTACTGGACCACTCATATCAAAAGGAAAATATTAATATGGATCCGTTCAGATAGAATTTAGTAATTAGATTAATTTGGATCACTTGAAATATCCAATTAATTTAATTAAACCTTTAGAAGAATGGACTGGTCCTATTAATTTCTTTATTTTGAGCCCATTACTAAATTGTGGCCCAGTATAATAAGAGATATACCCAATCGATAAAGAGAGCAATGAATCTGGTTAAGAAATATGTTTGTATGCATGGAAAGTGGCTGCGAATCTTGTTAAAAAGGCTGTCCAGATACATTATATAAGTGCTAATTTTTCTAGCTATTAAAATGCAAGAAAATAGAGCCCGAAGCCCATTTTAATTGAGGCCCATGAGGTATGGACGAATTTCAGCAACCCTAGGCCATATTTTCACCTCCTCCACACCTATAAATAGGGGTCTCATTTGAGAGAATGGGAGGAGAACTTCCAGACGAAGAAACGCTGCAGCAAAGCTCCGAAGAACTCCCGAAAGGCTCTGAAGGATTCCGAAGAAGAGGAAGAGATCAAGCCACGTTTTTGTCAAGAATATATGAATAATCCTTTGTGATTTCATCGATTCTTGATCAAACAAAGCCAAAAGTTGAAGAACGTTCGAAGATCTGAAGAACGAAGCTTGAAGATTCGAAGATCTGAAGAACGAAGCTTTGAAGATTCGAAGATATGAAGAACGAGTCTTTGAAGATTTGAAGATATTCATATGAAGATTGAATCAATATTCAATTGAAGATCAAGCCATATATCCCGGGAAGCCCTTTAACAGAAGATCAAGCCACATAATGGCCCTTTTGTTGAAGATCAAGCTACTTGAAACCGGAGGCCCTTCAATATTGAATTTTGCATTCAAGAAGATTTGAAGATCTGAAGAACGAAGTTCGAAGATTTGAAGATCTCAAGAACGAAGATTCGAAGATTCGAAGAACGTTCGAATATTTGAAGAATTAGAGATTTAATTTTAAATTAAATTCTTTAATTATATTCATATCAAATTGCAAGTGAAGAATCAGAGGATTCATATTTAGAGATTGTACCCGATATTCTCACATATTATTATTTGCGATCAATTTTAAGTAAATACTTAAAATTTGTTTCACAAATTTTTGGCACGCCCAGTGGGACAACTCTACCTCTCATCTCTTCACTTTTAATCAAGGAAAACAAAACAATGGCGTCAAGCAAGCCCATGTTCACTTTGAATTCTCGAGCATCATCAAGCTCAAATCAAAACATGCAAGGCCCTATCACTAGGAGCCGATCAAGAATCCTGGCTGCGTAGTCATCCTCGGGAACTACTCCCGATGCAATGGATGGATCTCGAATTGCGCAAGAGATGGCCCGGAAGTTTTCTTCACCCATACGTGAAGTTACTTCCCCGAAGTGGACAAGCGGTGGTGAGAGCTCATCATCTGGATCAGACTTCACTCCCCCTTCAACTCCTCCACGAAGGACTACTCCGCAGTGGTCAAATGTCTATACTGTGATGCCCACCATGACAACGAGCACCACGTCTATGGAAGAACAGATCGCCCATCTAACTAAAGTCATCGAAGGGATGAGTATGTTCATGCAAGCTCAAGACCAAAAGTTGAGTGATCTGAACAACAAAGTAGAAAGCTTGAAAGGCGAGTCAAGTCATACTCATGAGAAGGATCCCGAAGTGAACGAAGAAAATGATCCTAACCAAGAGGATTCAGGGAAGGATATCTCAACTTCTGGGGGCATGATCCCGATTGATCAACTTAAAGACTTCATCATGGGAACCATAAAGGGGAAGATGGAAGGAAGCAAATCTACTTACTCCTATGTTAAGCCATACACTCAAAGGATCGAGGATCTAAAGATGCCCATTGGTTACCAGCCGCCGAAGTTCATCCAGTTTGATGGGAAGGGAAATCCAAGGCAACATGTTGCCCATTTCGTGGAAACTTGCAATAATGCGGGAACAAGCGGAGATCACCTTGTCAAACAGTTCGTGCGTTCTTTGAAAGCAAATGCCTTTGACTGGTATACTGATTTGGAGCCCGGTTCCATTGATAGCTGGAAAGATATGGAACGTGAGTTCTTAAACCGTTTTTATAGCACAAGGAGAGTGGTCAGCTTACTCGAACTAACAACTACTCATCAATGGAAAGATGAATCTGTGATAGCTTACATAGAGCGTTGGAGGGATCTTGCTCTAAACTGCAAAGAACGAATATCTACAAGTTCCGCTATCGATATGTGCATTGAAGGAATGCATTGGGAATTGTGCTACATTCTCAAAGGAGTCAATCCAAACACTTTTGATGAGCTAGCAAGCAAAGCTCGTAACATGGAGTTGAGCATTACGAGCAGTAGAAGGAAAACTGTGGGTATATATCCCATCAATGATGTTGTTGAAAAGCAAGATACCAAGAATGGGGGCAAGCCCTTTTCCAAGTTTGAAAAGAAAGAAGCAATGGTCGCGAAGGTTGCACCTGTTAAGATCTTCACTCAAAATTCAAAACAAGTCCCTAGGGTTGACTTGGAAACGTCAAAACGCGTTAAGCCATTTCTAGAAGAGATGTTGGAAAAGAAGTACCCCTTCTTAGACTCTGACGTTCCTCTCATGTTTGAGGAACTGATGAGATTGAATCTTATCAGTTTGCCCGAGTCCAAGCGACCCGAGGAAGCCATGAAAGTTGATGACCCCAAATACTGCAACTATCATCGAATTCTAAGTCATCCCACTGAGAAGTGTTGGGTTCTTAAAGACAAAATCATGGCACTAGCTCGTGATGGAAAGATTGAGCTCGCCGATTCTGCTGCAAGCACAAACCAAGTTGCCATCACTTTTGGTATGTTTTCTCCATTCATGGTCAAAGATGACTCGAAAGAAGAGAGCAAGAACTCTCACAATCAAAGATTTCCTTTTACTATCGAAGTGATGGGGAACGACTCTCGTTTCAAGAAAAGCATGAGAGATAAAGAAAATAATGACAAAGAAGATCCATGGATCTTAGTAGCCCGAGATAAACAAAATAAGAACCACAAACATAAGCCACAACCGATGAAGGTGGTAAAGAAATGGGTCAAGCAACAACCTATAAACAAGTTGAAGCAAAAGAAGCAAAGGAAGGATCGTGTTCGTTCCAAGGCTGCACGAAGGGTGATTACTCTCAACGACTTTATGCCAAAGGATTTCAAGAATGAGATGACTCAAATTTCAAGTTCTTATCTTAGCACCAATGAGGAAGAAGTTGAGAGTTCAAGTGGATGTTCATCTCTAGTTTTGACTAAGAAAGAAGTGGCCGAAGCACAAAAATCTACTTCATACGCCACTGGCATTGTCTTTAAAGATGAAGATCTCATGTTGGGTGCTACTCCCCATAACTGTCCGCTTTTCGTTGAAGGATACACTCGTGGACAAAGATTCAGAAGAATTATGATAGATCAAGGGTCTGCCGTTAACATTTTGACGGTTCAAGCTATGAAAGACCTTGATATATCAATGGATGAACTCTCCCAAAGCCGCTTAATGATCCAAGGCTTCAATCAAGGGGGGCAACGGGCGATTGGAATGATACATCTTGATTTGGTCATTGGTGGGCTGAAGGCAAGCACTCTGTGTCATGTCATTGACGCAAAGGCTTCATATAATCTTCTTCTGGGCCGCCCATGGATCCATGAGAACGGTGTAATTCCTTTAACATGGCACCAATGCTTCATGTATGAGCAAAATGGCGTTGTAAAGAAGGTAGTGGCCGATGAAACTCCATTCACAGAAGCCGAGACATACTTTGCAGATGCGAAGTTTTACCTAAAGGCCAAAGTTTCTAAAGATGACAATGCTAGACAAGAGGAAGAATATCGCCCCTTGATTGGACCAAAGCTGAAAGGAAAGCTTGTTGAAGGCGTAGAAGGGCTTACATTCACTCTTCCAAAGATTGAGATATTAAGGCCGCCTCAAAACATGTCTGAGGAGGAAGTGAAAAACGAGAATGATGTTAAGACGTTTCAGCTCCCTAAGGCACGCACAAATGAAAGATTTGACCCAAACGCATTCAAACTTCTAGCCAAGGCTGGGAATAATCCCAACGAACAGAGGTTGGGAAATTTCATTCCGGAAGCTGATGGTGAAGAGAAACTGAAGCAGATCAATCTTCAAGGGCAGACAGGATTGGGTTATGTTCAGCCGAAACCCATAAGGATCCTCATAAATAGAGTCGCAACGCATCATATTAGTGCTGATGAAGAAGATGAAGTAATTTCTAAACTGAAGTATTCAGTCTTTGATCAGATTGAGGGGGCAAAATCAAGGCCCTCCATCTTTGATAGATTGGGTCCAAAGCCAAAGAAAGTTATGAAGATGACTTTACAAGAACGGCTTGGAATGAGCTCAATGATGATGAAACACGTTGAAGACACATGCACAGGACAAAACTTCAAAAGAACGTCTGTTCATGAACGATTGGGATTGAAA